AAAAGCCCTCTAAGATCTTATCTGCAATGACCTTATCAGATAGTTCTGCTCCTGCTTCAGAACCTTGGACTCCCGGAAATCCCAAGCATGAGCAAGAGGCACGTTCTATTCTACATACATGGCCCCTGGACTCATACAATGCGGAAACACTCAATGAAGTTCATCCTCGCGACTACAAGTCCCCAAGTAGTACATATGAAGAATATGATTTGATTGCTATTGGTGCAGGCGCTGGAGGATTGGTTTCTGCGCGACAAGCGGCCCGACGAGGAGGAAAAACGGCCATGATTTCGGAACAGTTGGCTGGCGGCGATTGCCTCAACGTTGGATGTGTTCCGTCAAAGGCATTGCTCCGAGCTGCGAAAGCTATTGCCGAAGTTGAACGTGCTTCGGAATTTGGTGTTGTTTTACCTCCAGGACCAGTCAAGATTGACTTTGCAAAGGTCATGGAACGGCTGCGCGCCAAGCGAGCTCTCATTTCCCATGTTGATGGACATGCGACTTCGGAACAAGCCGGAACGCACGTTTTTCAAGGAAAAGGTCGATTCATCAGTCCAACGTCCATCCAAGTGGGCGAGACTGTACTTCACTTCAAAAAGGCTGTTGTCGCAACCGGTGGACGACCACATATTCCAAACATTCCTGGACTACGCGAAGCGCCCTACTTGACGAATGAAATCTTGTTTAATCTGGAGGCACTTCCACCTCGAATGGTGATACTTGGAGCTGGAGCTGTTGGCTTGGAAATGGCGCAGAGCTTTGCTCGGTTTGGTTCCAAAGTGACTGTCATTACTTCCACCGACCAACTGTTTCATTCGAAATTTGGCGATGGGGAAGCGGCTAATATTTTGAAGCAAGAGCTTAAATCGAGCGGTGTCGACTTTATAGCTGGCCAAGTTACGATTGTCAAGACCATTTCAAAACAACCCGAGAAGGCAGCCAAGGAATTTCCCTTGATGCAAGTGACAATTGAAACGCCCAAAGGCTCCAACGTTTCGATAGACTGCGACGCCTTGCTCATTGCCGCTGGCCGCGATGCTAATGTAGAAGACGTTGGTTTGGATGCCGGAAATGTGGAGTTTGAGGTTGGCAAGGGCGTCAAAATCAACGACTTGGCCCAGTCAGTGAGCAATCCAAACATTTACGCTGTAGGAGACTGTGTAGCTGGCGTGCCGCGATTGACCCATATGAGCGGTGAAATGGCCAAGCTTGTTGTGCAGAATGCTTTGTTCCAGGACAAATGGAAGCTCAGTAGTTTGGTGGTTCCAGCGACCATGTATACCGAGCCCGAGTATGCGACTGTTGGTATTTACTCTGCTGAACTCGCCGAGCAACGGAGCATGAAAGTGGATACGTATCGGACTGGCCTCGAACAAAATGACCGGGCCATTCTCGAGGGAAGTAACGTTGGCTTTTGCAAAATCATATGCGAGAAGGGAACCGATAAGATTGTCGGTGCAACGATAGTGGCGGAGCGTGCTGGGGAAATGATTAATGAGGTAACCTTGGCCATGAAGAATGACATTGGCTTGTACCAAATTGGCCGTAACATTCACTGCTACCCTACAACTGGCGAAGCTGTTGGCTTTTGCGGGGTTCAATACATTAACTCCAAGTGGCAGCGATTGGATGGCAGGTAAGTGCATCGCAAGTTGCACGTACGAGCATGTCTACGATACTTGGATAGATCCATAGAGTTTTGGATTATGACTACCGGTATCTTACGGTACGTAGTACCCAGTTCTTTATTGCTTCATTGTAACGATGAAAGCGTCGAGAGGATGTACGTCTTAGGCCAAGCTGCGGCTCTTTCCTATGGCAACCTGGTCAATCGCGCCAAGTTGTCGCTGCGGCAAGCACAATTTGGTGATCGCATCCCATCTCCATCCACTTTTTTGCACTGGTGGCAGAAGCAAAGTGCTTGCTATAGTCTTACGAGTACTTGTGTCCAATGCCGCAGATGAGTACCGCTGTGATGTGATGTTAGTGGCGCGCGTCCAATCCGTGACAATTTTTTCGGCCATGGCCACGAACCCACAAACCCATCATTTTTTGTTCAAATTCAGCGCGGATAAAGTAACGAAAGAGAGCCACAGCATGTCTCGTCGTCCATTGAATAACAAACTTGAATGTTCTGACAATGAGATGAGCGATAGAAGAATCAATGACTCGAGTAGTAGTGACGAGAGTGACAGTGGCTCATCGTCATCATCGTCGTTTTCGTCTTCGGCATCATCGGATGACAATCAAAGCAATCAACATTCTTCAAAATCTCCAGCAAGCAGCAATCAGCAGTCTATTCCTTTTCTACGCAGACGGAATACGTCTACATCGTCGTTAACCAGTTTAGTGAGAGTTGAAAGTGAAGACCAACGCAAACGCCAACAAGGACCTTGTTTGCGCAAATGGATTTTGCTGCGACGAAGAGTGAGATCAGCCTCGACAATCGACTCGCATACGCATGAAAACATTCTCAGTGCATGCGGAACTTTGTTTCTTGGAACATCCTTTACTGTATGGTTGATTTTGATGCTTTTTCCTGGAGATTCCGTCTCGTATCATTCCAGAACGAGAGGACGTCGCCACAATCATTATTCTCGCGCTCAAAGCAACAACAACCAACCTGAGTCACCATTCACGATGAAACGATTCATTAGAGGAGTCGCTGGAAGCATTGTACATCGAATGGACCACCGTGCCAAGCAGGATCGAGCCGAACGCTCCGACCAGAAACGACGCAACGCTGAGGCGCTTCAACTCGGCTGCGTGAGACCCGATTGGCAGACTCGCTCCTACACGACGCTTGATATCCATGAAATTGATCTTACGTCTATCCTTTTTGGCAAGCATTTAGTACATTCATCTCCTTCGCCTGAACCAGGCTACTTATCGGCTGGACTATGGCGAAGCGTTTGGGTTGTCTATCCGCGCGACGCCAAGACACCAACAGTCTTGAAAATGATGAAGCCGGAACATCCAGTCGATGATCGAAACATGGATCGACATCGACGCGATGCTATTGTTATGGAGCGATTGACATCCAATCATTTTGTTGCCAGTATCTACGCGCATGTTGGGTACTCCGTCTTGACGGAATATGTTAGAACAACACTTGACACTGTCTTGTTTCATTCGCATATGCAAGAAGAAGGGTCAATTTCATATGCAGCAACTGCAACACGAGAAACGCCAATGGGTCGACTCAAACTGGCATTGGGTGTGGCCAACGGCATTCGAGCGCTCCATTCTGTCACTGATGGTCCAATTGTGCACGCCGACGTGCAAGCCAAGCAATTTTTGGTGACCCCAGAGGGAATTGTCAAAGTCAACGATTTCAACCGCTGTCGATTCATGGCGCATCACAATGAATCACATGCGTCGTGCTCATTCAAGATTCCATCTGCGCCTGGTAAGCACCGAGCACCTGAAGAATACTCCTACACCCAGCTCGATCAACAATTGGATATATACTCAATGGCTCATGTTTTGTATGGTATTTTATCGGGTGATGACCCGTGGCGGGGCTGGTCGTCGTCGGAAGTGAAACGCGTTGTCATGGACGGATACAAGCCAGTCGTTCCAGAGCAGTTTCGTGTAAGTAACACGACGGATGAACGTCTACATCAATTGATGCTGCGGACCTATACTTTAAATCCAACTGAGCGCATTACAGCCGCTGAGTTGGTGCACGAAATAGAGGCTTTGCTGCAGCAACATGCAAACGATTGGATATTACATTGAAGGATGAGAACTGCTTCAAGCGTGTTATCCAAGCGTTGATCGTATATGCATTTGGAGTAGCAATTTTTGGTATCGGAGAATAGTTGCAAATGTCATTGTGCGTATCCTGGTTGCAGCTTCTGCCAAGTTGGCGAAAACCATTTCGTTTAGAGCGATGAACGCATGCATACGACTGTACAAGATAAGCGAACATTGATGAGACGATGTTACTCGCAAGCAAGTAATGCACATTGCCGTCGAAGTTGACGGGTAAAGAAGGAGCTCATCTGACTGCCGAAACCAAATAAAAACAGGGAACAGGCATTGGCAGCAAGTGCTTTGACAGACGAGCTCGTGGCTGCACCGTTGTCGTTCGTCCTTGTCGAACCCTTGCATGAATCCTACTGACGGCATTAGAGCCAGTGGCTTTATTATATGCAATTGTCGCTTGCACTAGCAGCAGCAGAAGCGCAACCACCCCTGGATCAGCTTTGTCTGTTTTAAAGCGCCACTATCATGGAATTCTAGACGGCAATCAAGGATATTTCAGGAACAAACTCCCGTTGGCAACGGCGCACGCCGTCGCGAATTTGTCGTTCCGGCCACTCCTTACCATGCCCCCTAGATACGATCCATAGCATTGCAATTCTTGCAGTTTGTTGTTCTTGAGCGAGCCGTACAAATTTGGCTACCGTAGCTTGGCGTCTCCGATAACGTTCGCTTTGATCGTGGAAAGTAAAGGTGCAATGCGACTGTCGGATGCACAAACTCGACGGCTCTTTGATTCGCATCATACCTGATGTCTAGCTGATATTAGCAATGGGTTTTGCAATTTGATTTGCTTATTCAAATTCAGTATTGTTCGATCATTTATTTGCTTCGGCGTGTTTTCAAATTGTTCCAGCCAATTGGAAAAAGTCCCACTCGTCCAATGTAGGAAGGGGCCTCGCAAGCATCAAGCGTGGATAGGGTGACGTTGGATGTTGTATGTTGTCAAACAAAGTAAACAAATGAGTTAGCTAAAATTGATGGCATCGCCGTAAGTTGCATGGTCGCTGGATCCATATTCGAAAAGTCCGTCGGCTAAATTCGACCTGGTCCACATTGGCTAGCGTTAGATGTTAAAAAATGGTGCTTGACGAAAATGGCCAAGTCGGAGAACGACATTGCACATTCCAGTCAGCTTCTTTCTAGCTAGGGAAGGGTCTGCACAAAAAGATGAAAAATTGTTTGTTTACAGTCATTATATATCTAATATTCGTTCGAGGCAGTACTGAGCGCTCGCGATAGCTCAGATGGTAGAGCGGTGGACTGTAGCGGAAACAGGGTAGCTCCTGTAACTGAAATCCATCGGTCGAGTGTTCGATTCACTCTCGCGAGATTCTTTTGTTTACTCGCAAAATGAATTTTTGCCGCCAGCTCCAAATGTGGTTGGGCAACCATTTGCGATCGTTTGCTTCAAAAGCGTGAGACAGAAATGTAGCATAGTTGTACGTTAGCATGCATTGTGCAGCCTTTCAAGTATTCTGCGTAGTGTACCCGAGATCCCGCGTGCGGTTATTGCATGGTGCCTGCATTCACAGCTACGATAAAGATGATAAAATCCTTACTTGCTTATCTTTGTGGTACGTCAACGAGCGCTAACGCCGACACGCTTGCCGCTCCTTTTACTTGGCATTACTGAGGCACATCCAATTTACTAGCGGGAATGCAACAGGGCACGATTCGTCGTACATTGCCGAACATGGATCTAATCGTTCCTCTCAAAACGTCTTCTCAGTCCATCAAGTACGGGTAGTCACACTTTCAGTAGCGCAGGAGTCGGCATGTGAAATGGTGAGTTTCACGGACGAACACGGCCATTCATCTCCATGGCAGCAATTTCCAAACCAATGGCGCAAAATTTTGTCGGGGAACGATTGAGCAGATGCACCATAAATATCTCTCTTTATCTAGCTAGCGATGGGCCACGACCCTCGTGCTTGTCGCTAGACTGAGCATGGCGTAGTTCAATGGTTCCGACACACATATTGCGAAATTTTTTATATGGACCACTCGATACTCAATAGACTAATGCCCAAAGGCAATCGTTTCCTCATGAGAGTTTCAGACCCATGGCCAATCCAAGCTATTAGCCTTCCCATGCTTGCGCAGGCCGCGAAATGCGGGGCACAGTCTCGAACCAAGCAAAATCGAGTTCTTCAAACCGACGCTCACGTATCGCTTAACGATTTCACGGTGATCCGCTTCAAAATGGAGCTACGCTAGCCGAGGCGTTGGTTTCCGAAGACATGACAGTAGGTGGCAACGTGTTCGCGTAGCGTTGGTTTCCGAAGACATGACGGTAGGTAGCAACGTGTTCGGAATTAGACAGGATTTGCGAGGCGTCGCGACCTGCAGATTAAGGGGATTGCTCGTCTCTAGTATTTGTAAAAAAGGCAACGTTCCGATTGCAGAGAAACATTCCGGCAACAATATACTGTCAACAATAAAATGTCCAGTCGGACGTTCATGCTCTGTTTTGGCGTTTTGGGCAGGTAAATCGCCACAGAATTGCACATGGCCATCGCGCACAATTCAGGTCATTCTCCAGCTTCTTGTCGACTGCTGCATCACCGTTGTTTGTCGACCGGCTGTTGCCTCTCCGTTGACAGTGAACAGTGAACGTTGTTGTCTACGTCTCGTCGACCTGGACTGGTGGTAACCCAAGTCGGCGTCAACCAGTTCCAGCAAAAGCTTGCATAAAAAGCAGGCATGAATCTATCGTCGAAGAAGAGTATTCGAACAAGTCATGCGCGAAGCGTCAAGCCAATGTGCGATGTGCGATGTGTCGCTTGTCGTCGATGTGACAAATCAAGCGACCTTCACCTTCCAGTTTTTGCCATGTGGATCTTTCGTCGTGCATTAATGATATAGACAGTACCAGCCAGCATCTAGATTTGTAGCATGTCGACTGCTCGTCAGTGAATCCTTCGGTTCGTATCATCACAGCTCACTATTTATTTCTCGTTAGTTGTGCGAGGTTTGGAAGAATTGAAGAAATCGACTCTCGGGCGAAAAGCGAAAAGCAAATCGAAACTGTCACGCGTCGCATCGGTTTACAAAAGTTGCGCTGCGACATTTAGGTCACCGCCACGAATGAGACGATGAGACTGTGCACGCTGCACGCGCATTACAGAATCCGCTTTGCTTGATCAGTATGACGGCGACGAACAAAGACGACCTTATTCCCGGGCAGCAAAGGAGCGAATCATCACCAGACTGTCCATACTTGGATACAATCAATCGATCGCTTCTCGATTTCGACTTGGAACGAGCCTGCAGCGTCACACTCACCAAGGGCAACGTTTACGCATGCTTGGTTTGCGGCAAGTACTTGAGGGGACGGGGACCACAGACTCCCGCATGCATTCACGCCGTAGAAGACTCGCACTATGTCTTTGTTCACTTGGAGAAAGGGACCTTCCATTGCTTGCCGGATGACTACGTCATTCATGACTCGTCGTTGAATGACATTCGAGCGGCCCTCCACCCAAGCTTTTCCACGGAGCAAGTAAAACACATTGATTCTACGGAATCAAGTCAGGACTTGTTTGGACGTCAGTACTTGCCGGGTTTCATCGGAATCAGTAATTTGAACAAGACTGATGGAATCAACTGCGTCGTGCAGACGCTCGCTCATGTTCCTCCCTTGCGAGACTACTTTTTACTCTCCCAATCGCCTTCGTCGTCGAGTAGCAACAAACTAGCGAACCAAGTCACGGAAGCTTTTGCACAACTTGTCCGGAAACTATGGAGTCGAGGTCGCTTCAAGTCCACTGTTGATCCGCATGATTTAATACACGCTATATCCGTGGCGTCCCACAAAAAGTATGGCGTTGGAGCACAATGCGAGGCTGGAGAATTGATGACATGGATGCTTCACCAGCTGCACGTTGGAACAGGAGGGACCCACAAACCAAAGAGCAGTATCATTTACAAAACGTTTCAGGGCAAACTTCGAGTTACAACCAAGGAAAAGAAGCGAAAAGTCGTGCATGAGCTACATCAGCAAGATGTTGCAGACTTCGAAAATACTTGGGACGACAATGACGACGATGCAACAATCGATGACATGACGTCTCCAGCTATACCAGAATCATCCTTGCCCGAGTATATCATTCAGGAAAGTGTCACAAACACGCACTTTCTACAGCTTACGCTTGACTTGCCCGACAAGCCGTTGTTTCGCGACGGAGACGGCGGACTGGTCATTCCACAGGAGCCGCTTGCCGCTGTTTTGAAGAAGTTTGACGGTCTTACTTTTTCCGACGCTATCACTAGGAGCGGAGTCAGCCAGCGCAAACAGTATCGCTTGCTGCAGCTTCCAAACTACCTGATCCTTTGCTTGGCGCGATTCAAGAAGAATAGTTACACGCGCGTGAAGAATCCAACCATTGTCGCCTTTCCTGTCAAAAATTTGGACCTTGGCGAGTATGTCAAGCCGGACAAGGAGCGAGAAACGGCTCCAGCCAAGGAGCAAGTGGAGCAAATGAGTGTACGTACTCTCGCGCCGAGTTGTTTCCATTTTATTTCGTTTCTCACTCATTGTCGTGCATGTACTGATCGCCAATAGATGAAGCAAATAAAGGAACTATTGATTCGTCACGACCGCAAGGACATTGCAGATGCTGCCGTGGAGAAAAAGGACTTGCTGCAAGCGACTGTGGATTTTTGCACGACCAGCTTACCAACGCTTTTGGCCGACAAGTATGACTTGCTGGCGAATATAACGCATGTGAGCCCGGCTGACGTTGGGCGGGAAGGAACGCGGGACGCTTTGGAGGAAGGATACTACAAATGTCACGTACATGACCGTGGCAGCAAGCAATGGTTTGAGATCCATGACGATGTTGTGACGGAAATAATGCCGCAGCAGATTGGTTTGAGCGAGAGTTACTTGCTAATCTTTGAGCGAAAATCAGCGCAGAAGTGAATAACACTGTTTATAAATGTTCATTACCGGTAGTCCATGACTTGCTATAATTCGCACTTTTTCGCCGCGTCCCCAGTGTCGTTTTCATTCTTGTCGTTCATCGGCGGCAGAAACCAACGAAACAAGTCGGCGTTATCTCGGACAAACTGTCGATCCAATTGCTGCGAGTCGCACCATGTTTGTATTGCTTGCTCTCGACGGGACGTCTCGTCGTCTGATTGTTCGGTGTAAACGTGAGTGTTGGCAGTGTTTGATGCAACCAATGTCTTGACCGGTGGAGATGCCGTCGGTAAGCCTGGTAATTGGGCATTGCTATTGGCACAGCTGCTATTTCCCTCTCGCATCAACATGGATATTGCTTCCTCCGGAGGTAATGTCCAGTCTTCAAATGCCGGTAGATTCGATTCTTGTTCCTTTCGTCGACAGCGTTCGACATGAAGTGTTGCCAGTGGTAGCAAGCTGGCTGTCATCATGTCTTCCAGCACGACACCGACGGCTTCTATGGCGGAAGCGTCAAAACTTTCCCAAGGCAGCGGCTTGTGATGCAGGGGTACTCGAATAGCTTCTGGTAGTTGCTGGTGCCGTAACTCTTGTTCTCGTCTTGTCACTTCCTGTTGCTGAAGAATCTCGCAGGCTGCTTGGTTGATATACGCGTGGACGGATGGAGGTAGCGGATCGTTCGATAGTCCAATCAATGGATTGTGACTCGGCAGAGGCATGGGACTCTGCTGATGCGTCGCCCAGCCGATTAAATGAGCAATCTCAAGCTGGGACATGTGATTTGGAAACAACGCTTCGCCCCAGTAGCTTTGAGCAAATTCGTGTTCGTTCCAGTCAATTCCATCGTCGTCAAGGTGATTGCAGTCATCATTTGCCTCATCCATGCCGTCGCCGAGCGTAGAGACGAGTCTGCCGCTGGTATACAAACACAATACTATATGCAAGGCAGTTCTTCGTGTTGTTCGTCGAAAAAAAAAAAATTGGATGGTTCGGGTGTTAGTGCCGGTACGTTTCACGACACATTCGGATTGTCATGAAGGGTTAAGTAACAATAATGAAAACTTGTCAGGAAGGGTTAAGTAAGAAACATCTTGCCGTGAAAACTCCCGGGTGAGAAAACATCCTTCGACCACACAGTTTCACGCCACCATGGGTTTGCTTTCAGGCGCCGCCTTTCGCATGTTGCACGCTCCCAGAAGGGGACTGGGTCTTGCAACTTGTATGGAAGCATTTCAAAATGCAAGAATCACCATTTTGGCTCCTCAATTGCGCAATCTCGCAGCTGCAGCAGCTGCTGCTTCAAAATCCAAATCGTCACTCAAGGTCGCAGCAGCCGCGCCAGCCCTCAACTACTTTGAAAGCAAAATGGCCGCCAAGGAGCGTCGACGAGAACTATATGAAGCTCG